AGACTTTTATATTAAGTACTGGTATGGTGAGGTTAAAACATGTGAATATGTAATACATGTATATTATTCCGAGCAATATTTTCTTATTCATGAAAAAGAAATATTTCAACGGTTAAACAATGCGATCATTTAACTACTTGTTATTTGTTATTTTTGAGTTTTTCTAAAAGTACTGATCTAAACATGTTGATGTACTCCAACGATAAGCAATGGTTAACAGTACAGTCATTTTAATAGTAGTTAATTGTTATTTTTCTTGGAGTATTGACCTAAACTTGTATTTTTCAAGCTGGATTTAAATTATAGAACATTTTCAACTCTACAATATCGATGAGCACTATAATCCATACAGGGATAACATGCATTTCCTATATGAACATCATTCAGCATCAATGCATATACAACGCCAGATAAAACACATTGTTTATTGATATTATATCCATTGATGTTTAAAAGAGATAAATCAACTTGTGCATCAAATGTGCAGACGATGTTATATGGACCACGTGACATTCGTTAGATTTTCTGCAGCTTATGGAAGCAGCATTTCCGGTGCAAACACACTTAATTAAGATACCGTATATCGAAACAGTTTCCAATGGGAATGATGAATTAAAGCTTTTCCTCGTTTCCTGTTTATTATTGTAAATGTCGTTATCTATAGATTTTAATTGAAATTCCTGATATTAAGAGCAGACGACAACTTTTAAAGCTGGACGCGGCAAAGATTTAATATTATTTGAATATGTTCGAATTTTGTCCTTCCATTGAAAGTTAGGAGAACAATAAGCTTAAGCTTGGTTGTTTGATAGGTATTTAAAAATAATGTTCAAGAAGTTTCAGTTGTTTACGTCCATGAATTTACACGTACGTTTACAATCAGAATTATTTTAGACGGAATATTTCCGGTGTGTGGTATTAACCCATTACTTCATGAGTATTTTGTGAAAAATGGATGTTTTCATTGAAAAGTCTCCCGTTACAAGTTCAAATTGCTATGAAACTATAAAAACTGCTTCAATACTAATCAAACTCGGCACAAATGTTGACTGGACCATTGCCTTTGTAACAACATGCTCAGGTTTAAATTTCCTGTTATCATGGCAACAAGGGGACATCTCAAAATTGCCAAAAATCACCATTTGAGTTTATTTTTTCCAACAAAATTGATTTCAAATTGCTGTAACTTCTCAATGGATTGAGATAGAGTCAAATGCTTTTCAGCGTTGGTTTCACGTTACCTTATAATCGATCTGAGGTCATTTTTAGCCTCTCACAAGTCCAAAATTTTCCTGGCGATGAGGGGGACTTCAAACCCCCCAAACAGAAGGGGGCACATCCCCCTTCTGGCAACCCCCTGATGTATTTTTTGGTTGGGGCCGCGCTGAAAAAGTGGTCACTTTTTTAAACAACATTTCTCACACTTTTTGAGGACTTAAAGAGGGGGTGGGGGTCGAAAGTGCGTTGTTTCGCGTATATATGAGGTAAAGGGTTAAGTCGTTGTTTCCTTGAGTAAGACACTTTATACTCATTGCTCAGTACTGGTTGGTTCCAGTTACGGATCGAAAGTGTGTCTTTAAGCTTATACAGCTTCTAACACAATCAAACTAAAATAAATTCTGTATAACCCAAAGGGCTTTATAACCAGCCAAAATTCTTTAAAACTAATTATATTCACGACTGCTGCCAATTTATGAATAAATTTCTTTTTCTCTATAAGACAAGGATTGCTGTCTTATAAATGCGTTGTTAAGACTTTAGACATGTAATATGGGCCCTATATGATAACCCTCGGCAATATAGATATAAAGCCCGCATTTGAAGTAATTTGATTGGCTAATAAAGCAGGGCCAAACTAATATAGAATTCTACAAGGTTAGCTTTTAAAAAAGCTTGTAGCGACTCGCTTCGTAATTTCTTTCCAGGGGTGTGTTTAAATGTAAAAATGACAGTTCTGTTAGCTGAAGAGACTTCAGCGAACATCAAAATAAAAGTGACATATAAAGTAATGGAAGCCAGTTCTCTCAGTTTAACAAAGAGGAATATGAGTATATGAAGATGCATGTAAACAGATAGAATGAAGTCCCTATGTCTATGCACATTTACTATATGGCCTGTTGACCTTGACCAGAAAAAAATTAGATAAGTAGAATTCATAAAGATGTCTCTTTATACGAAGTTAAGTTGTAATATGTTCAAGAATATTGTTTTCAGAAAAGCTGGGATCGTATTAAAACATATAGGGATCCCGGGATTTGACCAATTCAAGAATATAGTCTTTGATTTTTCCAATTAAATAGGCATATAATTATAAGTATTGTGATTTTGTTAATAAATAGCTCTAAATATATCTATATCCTAAGTTAAATTAATTTAACTTTCATTACATACAATAAAAAAAACTTAACGTTTAATGGCCTTTCATTACGACAATAATCAACACAAATATAGTTTATTAGTTTTTTCCTCTATATCTTATACGATCCCGGATCCCGGGCGT